CCGCAGGCTAATCCAGGTTGAAAGCAGGTGAGCTTGTCCAGCCCTCTGCTCCCAGCAGGCCCCCACAGCTTGGGTCACTCAGGGCCATAGCCACGTGAGTTTTGGCTATATGCAAGGATGGAGATTATACAGCTTTTGTGGACAGCCTAGTGTAGTGCTTAGCCACTTTATTGTTTGCCTTTAGTCTTAATCACCGTGCACTTTTCAGAAGAGCCTAACCCTCTCTTTGTCTTCCCAGTAGATAGCTGCAAACAGCAATAAGATCTCTGCTGAGTCTCCTTCAGGCTGAAACACGGTTAATCCAAACTGCACTGCACAGGGAAGGACCATCAGTGTTCAGTGCCCAGCTCTTTACCTGGAGAGTATGAAAGAAATGGTATCTAAACAGACTTGAGCTCACAGATTTCTCCAGTCTACTGATTCACAGTTTGAATTCACTGATTGAAGTGTGCATGGTGGAGTGTGAATGCCTCTGGTTCCTGCAGACTGCTGCCTGCTGAAGCTGCCTGAAACCTCAGGGCTACTTCTTCAGCAGAGAACTGGGCTGGAAACCACGCAGAGCGCGGCCCTGACCAGGGACAGGCACTCACGGTTACACGTACCTCTCTGAATTCGTATTCTCACTTCTGTGCTCAAACAAAACCAAAAGTAAATGTGCCATTTTAAATGGTGTATTGTTAGACTGGTGTGACTATGTCTGAAGTCTAATGTGTTTTATTATAAGCAGGGATTTGTTTTAAAAGGGAAAAAATATTCCCAGCTTTTTAGTGCTTCCAGTAAGATGTTTTTTGTGTGCCAGCTGCGTGACCGGCATCGTACAGGCAAGATACAGGCATAAAAGCTTTCTCTGTTAAAAGTGAGAATGCAAGTCATGCGTACAGAGCATTAAGTATTAATTTTTGAGATTATCTTTCCTGAGAGTCTTTGAGCAGAGATGTAAACTTGCCCTTGCAACGGTTACCACAAACCAAAACTCTGAAAGTAAGGCTCTTCTCAAATTTTGAAGTATTTGTAGTCCTTTTCTAGCTTTTTTTTCCCTCTTGTGACAGTCTTGCAGTGAAAGACAGTGCTGGATTAGTGGCCCTAGAGGTTTCTTTTCTGAAGAGGTAAAAATGTTCTTAAGCAGTCAGATAAATATTTGCTGTGTTGATCCAGGTTTTCCATAAACTCTTCACCAGTGAGACCTTGTGGTACAGAAGTAACACAGAGTTTATATACCGATTCTTCGGTACCTGTTCCTAGCCTCCAGTATCCATCTCTCCCTTTGCTTCCAAATAAGCATCAGAGCTATACTGAATTTAGGCTTGTGTTAACAGCCTAGGAGTAAGTCTAGAGTATCCCACTAGGTTTGTCCACTGACCAATTACAGATCTCTCTCTCTTTTCTGTTTTTATTCTGCAGCTGCAAGTCTGACATTGCAAAAATAGTTGAAATAAAGTATCCAGAGAGAATTTATAGAGGATGCCCTGGCCTTCCATATAATACCTAATGGCAGGCAGCTTAGAAGGGCATCCCTTCTGAAGTTGTAAATCAGGCTGTTTGATCTGTCTGAAAAGCACTTGAACTTTTAGTTTTTTAGGGACCTTGGGGGCTCACTAAATAGATAAATTTCGTTAATGTTTGCTTTATCAGGTGAGTTGGGATGTAGAAATCGTCTAACAAGTTCAGTAACTTTTTAGTGTGTAAAAGACTTGATGTTCATTGGAAAAATGAAAATACTTCCATAAAGACTTTACATTTCACTTGAATTTTCATTTTCCCAATGAACATCACTTCCATAAAGACTTTACATTTCACTTGAATGTTGAAAATCTGTTCTTTTAGGACTGTATGGTAAATATAGCAGTATAGCTGTACCTTTGTAAGGTCAGGGAACTTTCCCTTCTTCTGACTCATCTTTTGAACTACCAAGTACCTAGTACTTTTTGCTGATGAAGCTGGCTGTGGAATTTGTGTGGCCTCCTTGGGCCCCTTTTGTTTTCATATCTGTTTCCTTTAACGTCAGAGCCATGGGTAGCTTTAGCCACTTGACTGCTTTTGCTGGCCTCTCGTCTTGATGCTGGCCACCCTGGTGCCAGCTGCATCCTGCTGCAAGACAGCAGCCTGTTCAGATGTTCATGAACTGTGTGGTGCTCAGGGCAAATGTCGTCCAGTTTGGTGTATTATCAGTACAAGGTGTATGAAAACAGGGCATTTCCCTGTAGCTGTGTTAGCTGGGCGGTGGGACACTGAGGGTTAAAGGATGTTTCACTTCAAACCCTGTGTATCAGTTACGGATATAATTGGCATAACTTCAAAACTTGTTTTAAAATAATTGGTATATTTTATTATGGGAGGAAAATGTATGAGTGGATTATATCCCGTTGTATAATGCAATCACATCCTGCTCTCCAGTGCCTCTTACTAATGCAATAGCAACTGGGTTTCCCTTCTGCTTCTGCGATGAATTCACTAGGGACAGTCTCTGAGCCTAAGAAGCTGTTACATCTATTGGTGTCCCCCTCTCTCTGCTCAGCTTAGTAGCAGTAGAGATTTGGCTTTGTGCCACTGCTCTGCAAAAGCTCATCTGTACAGTTTTCATTCTGGCTTCTGATTTACTACAGGATTTCTGGTTGATGCTGGTTAGATCAATTTTTAACACAGACAGTCTTCCTGATGTGTTCTGTGAGCCTAACTCTTCCTCAGTGTGAGGGATGAGAGCAGCAGAAAGCTTTGGCTGCTTGCCTGGCTGGGCTGGTGAAGATGTCTCTTCCCATAACTGGTAGTGCAGGTGGCTTGGAGGTGACTGGCCGTAACCTGTCACTCTGTGCGGAGCTGCGTTTCTGCCACATCCATCATGCGTAGCTGTAAAATGCTCCGGGGCTGTTTGGACCATGCTTGTATAAACCTCTGTATTTAAATTGTCAGCACTCAAAATTCCAGTAAGTAGATTTATCTTGCTGGGGGGATTTCTTCCCCTGTGTTCTCCTTGAGTACATACTTCTCTTCTAAATAAAATGCATCTTAATCTTCCAGTCACTTTTTAATGATCTTGCTGCTGCTATGTTCTCTTGATTTTAGAGGGGGAGAGCTGGAGGGAAGCCGTCCACTAGTGTCACAGCTGCTGCCTGCTGTACCTTCTCTTGCATTAAACTCTTTTTCTACTCCAAACTTGAAGACGGTGAAGTGTGTTCTTTTGGTTGGCTTTTTTGGGGGTACAATTTGGCTACCCTTTACACTATACCCTAAAGATAAGTCTGTTTGGGGTTTTTTGTGGTGTGTGGTTGGGTTTTTTCTTTGATATACTTCATTTATTCTCTGCTTATTACCTGTCAACTTCATTTACCATCTGGGGAAACAGATCTATGGATACAAAGTGAGGGTCACAGGGAGCAAAACCAGCACTGACTACTGACTTGTCAACAAAAGGATCAAACATCCATCTTCATTTTGCAGTTGTCTGGAACGAGGATTAAATCGCAGATCATCCTAAGGTGACAGGAGAACCTTTATTAAGTGGTTATCCATTTGTTTACTTACCAGCCCAAAACCACTTTGTTCTTGTTCTTATACATTTTCTCTGCAGGACTAGAGTCTTGTCCTTTTCTTAGTATACTATAAAAGGAATGGTGCTCAGTTAAAACTTTGTGCTTCTCCAGCCTCCTGGCATGACCTTTCCGTTAGGTTAAAAATTATTTTGTGTCATTGTGTTTCATGCATTCTTCATTGATACTGTTTTCTGGTTGGATTTTATCTAGTCTGGCTGAGTAATTCTTCTTATATTCCTGAATCTCAGGTGTCTTATTATTGCTCATTTTTACCTTTGTTTTTGTGAAATGTGGAAAAATGCTTGCAAAAGACATGTAGCTTGCTTCTTTGTGCATGTCATCTGAATTTTAGTTGCAAAGTTTGCAGAGTACACAGGAGATGGTGCAACAGGCATTGTTTGCTTGCTTAGATTTGCCAGGCAAAAAAGCTGCATCCTTGCTGCAGCCATAAAATATTCTGGCAAACATCACTGTTTCGGCTCAGTTATGGTCAATGTTTCCAGCAGTCATCATTTGCCGGCAATGGTGTGTCTACTCAGTTCTGGTCTTAGGCAGACGAAATATATTTGATGTGTCCCAGTGTTTAGCCTCTTGTGCAACTTGGGGTTTACGCCTTTGAGATGTGAATGAGGGTGAGGAAGACAAACCACAAAATGGAGTATTTTGTTTGTCACTTCAGGAGATACCAGATTTTTTTATAAATTCACCAGTAGGTTTGATGCGCTCAGGACCTCTCTTCTGCAGAAAACAGATAGTAATGATTCACTGCAAAATGTTTCTGATGCATGTACACTTATGAGGCTCATGCATTATACCTTGGATGTTACTTGAAACTAGAAAGTTAGGTACAGGAGAAGCAAATCAGCCTCATGGATTTTTAACTCTCTTCCAGGACTCATAGTTGGGGTGATCCTGAGATATGGGACTCCCTCTACCAGTGGCCATGACAAGCCGTTCAGCTGCTCGCAAGAGGACAGACCCTTTACAACCCTGCTGGTCAACGTCAGTGGGAAGTTCTTTGAGTATACGCTGAAAGGGGAAATAAGCCCTGGGAAGATCCACAACGTGGAGCAAAATGACATGTTGCGAAAGGTAGACCATTTCTTGTGCTTGGCTGAGTGTTTCTCCTTTATCTATGCTTCCCTCCCTGCTCCTCCCTCCATCCCATTTGAATGTTAGGTAGTATCAAGTATCTGTATTCCTGACAGTAACCGCTTTTCAATGCTTAATTCAAAAACACCTTCTGTATTACATCACTGTTGGCAAAACTGTGCTCTGTTGCATGTATGCAGTGCTTTCCCAAAGCCCTTGGTTGCTGTTTGAAGACTTAATGTATGTTTCTATACATCTGTAGAATATACAAAGACCAGCTGAATGAAAAATCCTGATGCTGACTTGTATAATACAATATAAGGAAAATTATCATTTCTTAGTGAAAAGTGATTGTTTTACGGTGTGGTTTTTTTTTTCCCTAGAGTTTTTTAATTTGTTTATTGTCACGAAATAGTTACTGCTTACATCCCTATAATCCACCAAATAATACAGTCTGGTATTGGAAGTGAAATTGATCTATCAACTGTTACTCAGATCTGCTATTTGGCTTCTTACTCTATTCAGTGTCAGGAATTAACCACCGTTTGTGTGTATCAAAGCTAGACTTTGAAGTATAGGATTGAGACATCAAGGTTTGTAACCTAAAAATACTTCTTTGTGCTGGCTATGAAGAGAGCTTGGGTGTCTGTTTATATGTACCTGTCTGCTATAGATATCTAAAGTTAGACAAAATGAATCCTATTCTAGGAGTGCATGCTTGTTGTGTTTGTCTTCTAATTTGTGCTTAGACAGGGGGTGAGGAGAGCCTAGTTACCCACATGCGTACAGGTCTTCTGCTTGGATTTTAAATGCTGTTTCTCGTTCCTTACTGTAGTGTAGTCTTTCATGGATACCTGGAGCTTCTACTGAAATACATAGAAGTGATGTATGATCCCAATTCTTGAAAACCAGTCTTGTATCTGACTTGATTGGCTTACAACAACTGTGCAGTGGCTAGACCTGACAAAAAACAAGCTAAAATGGCATTTCATCTGCAGATATGAATGTCATGTACCGCAATAAGAAAAATATTCTCCAGCATCATTTCTATTAGAATTTTTTAATTTAAAAAAGGGGACTGTGTTTGGAACTGCTGCAATATTATCATTGGTGATGGATGTAATGCCTGTTTTTTCCAGATGCCGTTTACCAAGAAGAGCTGCAGCTTTTTGCTGCTGTGTATGTATAGAGCTGGCCAGTGTTTTGGAGGGTCAACTTAGCTGTTTCAACAATGGAAAACAGTAGTTGTCAGAAAATGAAAGAGGAAAAAGACCTAACAATTTGTGTATGTCTGTTTCTAATTGAAGTTTCGTATTTTATTTTTTAGGTAACATTTGACCCAGAAGTTTTTTTCAACATTCTGTTGCCTCCTATTATTTTTCATGCTGGTTATAGCCTAAAGAAAGTAAGTATAATAATTTCTGAGGAGAATAGCCTATTTTTTTTTTTAATATGAGACTGCTGATTTGTTCAGGAGTACAGTCTCCATTTCAAGCATGTTTTTTTTATGGCAGTACAAAAAAATCTCACTTCCTCCATAGATGGTTAGGTCGTATTGTTTTAAGAGAAAATACATGTACTTTTTACTATAAACACGTTAAACTTTCTATTTAATCATCTTGATTTTTTTTCCTTTGTACTTTCCCAGAGGTTAATGTCAGTTTCATTTAAAGTAAAAAAATGTCCTGCTATCAGTTGTTTTGGTCCTTCTTAAAACCCAAAATGCAGTAAATTGTGCTGAGAAGTGGACCCAAACCTGAATCCCAGTGAGGATGTGCCAGACCCTGAATGGCAGAAGGGCCCAGATTCTGATCTCGCTTGAAGATACCATGAATTGGTGCTGGTGTTCAGTTTTGCAGTTAACTCTTACATCTCTTATGAAACCATCTGTGGGGAAAGCTTGCTGTCAATAAGCTACATGTAGGATCTAATAGATGATTCAGATTTGGTTTATTCAATTTATTGAAGCTGGACAGAATTTACATTGCAGTAATTGAAGCACTTATCTGAAATGGAGGAATGTTTCTGTGTATTAATGCAAGTGTAGTAATGTGCTGTATGTTTTTGAAGAGGTAATACAACTTCTTTTAAATAAGCATATAAACCTCTTTTTTTTCTATGCAGAGACACTTTTTCAGGAATTTGGGGTCCATTTTGGCTTATGCCTTTTTAGGAACAGCAGTCTCTTGTTTTATTATTGGGTAAGTGAACTCTGTGATATCAGTTCCTTTCTATACTAAAGTTTAAGTTGATGAAGTGTATGTTGGGCCTTCCAGATTGCCTGAATTTTGTAATTTGTTTGAGGATTTTGTGTATCCTCCAGACAAAATGCAAATGTAACATTTGCTGAGATTTATCCCACTTCTAAAAAATACTGTCCTCAAAATGATATTGTCAAGTTTGAATCACTTGACAAATCCACAGTACTAAAGAGTGGCATTGAATTTTTGATGTAATGATCCAGTCTAAAACAAAGCCTTGTTACACTCTTACTGGAATTGACTTTAACTTGAATTGTGGACACTATACTTGTAAGAGAGTTTTAGCTATCAAACTTTTAGAGATGCCCCTTTCAGTGCCCACATGTGTGTGAGTGCACTCTCTTTCTCTGCGTATGTGTATATATATAATTTTATGTGTATATATACACACACGTTTAGTTTAAGACAGCTAGTCATGTTGGTCTTATGCTGCTAATACTACTGCATCTGATGTATGGATATTCTGAAATACAGAAACCCTGAATTGCATAGGTGACCTTGGTTTGTGTCTCAAAGAATTTCACTAGAGAAATATTTTGAAAGCTATTCTTAGCTTAGAGCTTCTGGCCTATGTACTGTGTTGAGAGAATCAATACTGAGGGGAATTTTGAGCAGGGAAAAATGTTCCCTTTGGTGGAAAAAGGAAACAACTTGTAGATCCTGTGTACTAGTTGTGTGAACAGATTTCACGCTTTGCTTACTGGTTTTGAATTATATTTTCTGGATCATGTATCACTTGACCCAGTTCACAGGGAAAAGAGGAAAATTTTGAGAGCTTAGTGTTAAACTGTGGCAGTGTCCCACAGAGCTGTAGCGTAACCAAGCCCGCCTGAAATATTGTTGCTTGTGCTCTTGCTTTGCCTGTCTGAAATGCACCAACTTGTTTGACTTGGACTGTTTTATCTTGTTTCTCTTCAGGAATCTCATGTATGGGGTTGTGAAATTAATGAAGTTGGTGGGTCAGCTCTCTGATAAATTCTATTATACAGACTGCCTTCTCTTTGGAGCAATAATATCTGCCACTGATCCAGGTAGCTTGCTGAACATTTTTTTAACAACCTTCTGAAATAACCCTAGTGCTAGGATTTTTGGCTGCATAGTGGGAAGACATTAACAGCACTCCATTTTCAGTTATGTTATGCTACTGTCTCTGATCCTCTTCTCTGAAATGCATGCAGATTGGGTGTTGTGAAAACTGTTCCCTGTTCATTTGGCACTGGACTGATACAATGTGATGGTATGTTTGGGGAAAAATATAACTTCCCTGTTCAAATACTTTAAATATTTTTCCCCAGTAGGTTTTTTGTTTAGCATGCATCAAGTTTAAGACTGTAAATAGATGAAATTATTACATTGTCTGGACAGCAGGGTTTCCTTCTTTAGCTACATTGCTTGGGACATTGGATAATTTAAGAGCAATATTTGAGGCTTTTAGGCTCTTTAAGTGTGGGGAAATTTTTTTTTTTCTCCTTCAAATGAACTTTTTTTACAAGTTTAAGTAGAAGAATGATCTTCTGGCAAAGTAATTTGAGCTTTTGCAGAGTAATCTAGTCATCCTTCAAAGCCCAACAGGTTCCCATAGGTATCTCTGCTTGACAGGTCAGTCTGGAGAGCTGGTGTGTGTCAGGGACCCAGGGTAGGGAGTGGTGAAGTATGAAGCTTGACATTTAAAATGTCTTATTTGAGGTGTTTAGTGGTGATTTGTATGAAAATGGGAAGTAGCTCCTGTGATTGAGCTGAGCTCTGAACAGCTGGTGGTTGCACACAATTTATGCAGAAATTCACCATTTGATTTTTGAAGCTCATATATGGGAACATCTTCAAGATCATGGTCTTTCATCTAAGACTGAATTTTCCTGAAAAGATGGTTATAAATATTTAGCCATCTTGCCCTTTTCAAATTCTGTGCAAATGCACGCTCCCGTGGCATAGTGTATGCTTTAGGGAACCCTTAGGATTATTAGTGCTGCTTTACAATGGCTGAAATAATAAAGCTAAGTCAACAATCCATACAGCCTTTAAAAGTAGCAAGAGCTGCATGATATTTTGTTGATTATCTTATATCAAACATGTTCTACAAAAAATATCAGGGCTTTGATAGAATTACTTTGTCTGCCCCATGCCCTTTGATCATGAGGGCTTTCCTACAAGCCCTGTGCAGATGGGAGGACAACAGAGCCTAATGGAGCTGCCTTAAAACTGATGGTGGAATTGCTTACAATTGATTACCTATAGATAAACATGACTAGTCTGTTTCCCAGTTTAATTTTGAACCTGTCCTTCAATTCCTGGGTTTTGTTGCTTTAGGCAAACTGGAAAGTCTGCTCCGTCAGCTCATGCAGTTGTTCCTGAAGTCAGCCGGTGTGGTTTTTCTCTTTTCTTTCTGTAGTTACCGTGCTAGCAATATTTAATGAGCTGCATGCTGATGTCGATCTCTATGCCCTTCTGTTTGGAGAGAGCGTGTTGAATGATGCTGTTGCCATTGTACTATCCTCGTAAGTAACTACCTGAATTTCTACTCTGAAATTACTTAATTGTTTTTGTATTTGTCTTAAATAAATGCTTTTTCTGAGAAATGTTCTTTTCAAATTTAAATGGATTATTTTGAACTGAATTAATAAACATTGCAAACATTTGCCAAGATTGCTCATGCATACATACACCAGCATGGCAAATTTTCTTTCAGTATGGGATTGTTTCTTCTATTGCTCAGGTGGTGTTATGGAATAAAACTTAAATGCCACTTCTAACTTCTCATTGTGTTACTCTTTTTCTAGATCTATAGTTGCCTACCAGCCAACAGGTGAAAATACCCATGCTTTTGATGCAGCAGCATTTTTCAAGTCTGTTGGTGTTTTCCTGGGAATATTCAGTGGTTCTTTCATGATGGGAGCAGTGACGGGTGTTGTGACAGCTCTCATATCCTTTTTCACATTTAGCTGTTCCAGACTAGATGCCCCATTCAGGTATTAACAAGGCTCTCCTGTTTCCAACTATATCAAAATTGACTCTAGCTTGTTTTAATCTGAGTGTGAAGATGTGTTATCAGTATTCATGTGACCTTTGTCTATAGGAAGGCATTATACGTACCTACAGAAATCAATTTTTTCCAGTATAACTGTGGCCACTCGAGAAGTTTTAGTGATGTTGCTGCATGCTGGAAGCCAAGGGGAGGCCCTAAATGGCCATGTCCTAATGTTCAGATTCTTTTTATGAAATTGAAAAAAAAAATAGTTTTTATTATTAGGCTTGGAAGACATCTTGTATGATAACTGGTGTCTGATTCTGTCTTCAGCAAAATCATTAATAGCTATTTCTGACCCCACAGGGTTCTTTGAGTCCTGTATTTAAGCTTTCTGCTGGAAATCTGATGACATCCATCTTGGATAAGATTGTATCTCTACCAGAGTTAACATCATATCGTGATGTGCTTTGCATGATCTGTCCTGCTCTCTTTGAAGCTTACTGCTGCTATTTGATTAGAGCTCTAAGGTGCTCAGCAAACGATCTATGTGGGTTTTGGTTTAGGCTCAGGCAATAGATCTTAAGCCTGACCTGCTCCAGAAATCATGATGCTTCTTCAGGAAAAAATTAAAATTCTTTACTTTCAGACTGGCTAGCATAACCATATTCGTACGCATGCCAGATTGCTTTGATCTGCCTAGACTTCTGAACACTGACCTAAAAGGGGTAAAATGTGATAGATTGTACAATAATCATGGACGTGTGACTCACCTTAAGCAATAATGTCTCAACTGTATTTTGTTATATACACACTGTGCAGACTTGTCTGATATGTCTGCATAATGGAAAACTTTCAGGCATAAGGGGAAGATGTGCTGTTGATGCTTTAACGTTTGGTCTTCCAGTTCCACTGATCTGCAATTGATGTGACCCAGAACCATGATTCTTCGTCTGGCTTTTAGGCTACCAGCCATCCATAGCTCTAGCTGCTCAAATGCTGTTGCTGTGGTTTTTGGCTTGCTGGTTGGCTACTAATTACAGCTGAAATGCATTCAGATCCATTTTGTAAAATCATGCTTCTGAGGCAGCAATTGATTCTTGCTGTTTCTAATGTTTGTGTTCAGGAGGATGATATGAGGCTGGGAGGGGGGGAGTCTGTTCAGAAGACAGCCTCTGTGGTGCATGTTTGTGTATGTGTGTTTTCTTTCATTGTTATTTTGTTTTGGTTTTTTAATTTTATGATGGTTTGGGCTTTTGTTTTGAGGGCAGCCTTCTGACAAAGTAGGGTCACAGCTGAAGGTGTGGCTGTGGATTATGTGTTTCAGAGCCCTTGCCCTCCTCCAAGCTAGCAGAGAACGCTGACAAGAAGTAGGTGTGGGTGGGGAGCGGGTGGCTGGCCTCAGAATTGCTTCATACTAAGCACGTTCCCACTGAAACGCTGCCAGCTGTTTGCCTCTGGTCTTAATCACCTGTGGCTTGCAGTGAACGGCGTATTTGGTGATAAAGCCCACAGGAGACTGTTTCTGCTGAGTCTTCTGGGCTACCTGACTGCTGCTTACAGGAGACAGTCAGGAGCACTGTGAGCCCCAGACCTCCCAGGACCTGTGAATTCCCTGTATAAAGCAGTGCTGCTCGTTGGGACAGGGATGGTAAAAGTATACTGAACTGTGACTCCCCAAGCAGCAGTGCTGCCACGAGCTTTAGGTTGTGTAGTGCTGCAGAGGGCCCTGGATGCAGCTGTGTTACACATGGAGAGCTATGGTGGATGCTGGTGCAGCATTGATGTGTTGGTTGAGGTACCGATGGCCTTCATATGAGCAGGGGAGAGTGCTACCACCTTACTGTTTCAAGTGTCCTTGCTGTGCTCTTGCTATCCTCCCACTTGGATTTCAGAGAAGATTGTGCTAGTTGTCAGCCTTCAGAAAGACCAAGGATCTCTCTACCACCCCTGTTAGCACACGGTTTCTTTTTGTGTCTTCTTGGAGAGCTGCGCATAGCTGTTTGCACCTCAGGTACAGTGAGCTGTTTAGAGTTCACCTGCTGCCAGAGTAGTGATGAGGGGGGGAAAAAAAACAACAAAATATCTGAACAACTTTCTTGTAGTATGTGAAGAGCTATATTTAACACTACTGAAATCTGTTCCACTTCTTCAGTAGCTGTATGAACTGTTACTTCAGTGTGTGTTTGACGTTTCTCAAGCTTTGCTCTCCTCTAGAAGATGAAATTGTTTTTAATTCCCATTGAAAGACTGCGCTGCTCAGAGTTGGCTTTTACTCTGAAACACATCAACACAAAGAGAGGAAATATATTTTGTTGTGGGCAGGATTTCTGTTTTGCCTCAAAAGTACAGAAGTAGCCATGCTTGCTGAAAAAGACTTTGTCAACAAATCTGAGCAGAAAAGTTCTCATAAATCTAGTTCATCTTAGGGTTGCTGTAGTCAAGAACGGCCCTGTGAATTAAACGCTTCTGAATGTATTTTAAGCTTTATTTAAAGATGGGAGGGGACCTTTATGGGGGGCGGGGGGGCAAACCCAAAAAAACCAAACAAACAAAAACCCATGAAAAAACAAGGCACACAATCTAAAAGGAATGCCTGGTATATATCCCTTCCGCACTGGCACTTTGCAGGGAAATGTGGCATGGAGTAAGGTATTACCTCAAAGAGGTGGAGCCACAGTTATGCCATGGATATGCGGCAAAAATCTCCAAAACTGACTGTTGCAAGGGGACAACTTGATTCTGAACCTTGTCTTGATGTGATGGAATTGATGTTTTTTCAGCACTAAAAGTGTTTTCTTTCCCACCTAGCGTTGGTTGTTAGTGCATAAAAGTGTTTTTCATAAATACTTGGTACATAGAAGTCAAAGGATTTATTTTCTGATCCCTTAACAAATGACTTAACGTGACGAAGTTTACCAAGTTGCACTGCTTCCCCCTGCTGGAAACGGCTCTCTTCTTCTTGATGTCCTGGAGCACTTTCTTGCTTGCAGAAGCTTGTGGATTTACTGGTGAGTTGTTGGGATTCCAGCACACGGAGACAGAAGCCCTGTCCATCTTAGCAGCCGTTTTCCCACTTTTGCATTGAAACTTTCCTATGAGAAACGTGATGTTGGTACCTAAAACTTTTTTTTTTTACATTCTGTACAATGCCACTGAAGGTGCAGCTCACTGTTTAACAAAGGCTTTTAAGACCAATGGTTTGGTTCAAACACCACCTCTCCAACCTGGAATCCAACTTGCTTGGAAATAAGGCTCATAAAATTGCAAGGTTAAGGATGATATATAAATTTAATAGAACTTGGGAAGGGAAAATGTGTTGAGCTCACACAGTAAAGAGGCTGATTTTTATATGTGATTCTGTTCACAGGTGTGGTGGCTGTCCTCTTCTGTGGAATTACCCAGGCGCATTATACATACAATAACTTGTCAGTTGAATCAAGAAGTCGCACTAAGCAGGCAAGACTGTCTTTCACCTTTTATACAGTGTATTGCTGTAGCAGTCCATGTACTACTGTTTTTTAAAAGCATCTTTATTGCTGGGCCTTTAACATGTGACTGTTTTCTCCCTAGCTCTTTGAGGTATTGCACTTCCTGGCTGAGAACTTCATATTTTCTTATATGGGTTTGGCACTGTTTACTTTCCAGAAACACATATTCAGCCCAGTTTTCATCATTGGAGCTTTTGTATCCTTTTTTGCTTTGTGTGAGGTTTCTCTATTATCTTATGTGCCTGAAAACTTACGGTGTCTGTTGGCTTTACCAAATAGATGATGGTGGCTGACCTGAGTTTCCCTTGCAGGGACTGTGTCTTGCAGGCACAATAATTCTGAGAACTGTCTTTGGTCACCCCTTACATCAAAGCCCTGACGTCTCTGTGCCACACAGTTGTTGGCTCTGTACCTGAGCAAGTGCTAGAAGTCATATAATTTCAATAGACAAATAAATGAATAGGCTTTACTTTGTGACTTGGCTATTAACAGTAGCTCTGTTGTATTCGAACTTTGGAGGCCTAGGAAAGGATTCATTTTTCTCTTCATTTCCAACAGTCCCTTGAAGAAAGCAAACAAACTTCAAGTAAATAGAGGGTTGTGGGTGGATAGATTATCTTTTGAGCAATGTCTCAAAGGTAGAGGTCAGGATCTCAGGTGATGGGAGAAGGAAGGAACTGAGCTGTGGTCAGACCGTAACATGAAGGGTACACACTGCTGAAAGGTGCTGGTGTTAGAGGTGAGCATCGAGTTCCCGTCACCCCTGGCTGACTTGGTACCTGACTCTCGAATTCCCCAGAACTGAACACTTTTGTAGTAGTCACACACATGTAAGCTAGGAATCGCTAGATTCCTCTTGGCATCCCGCCCCTGTTGAAATGGCTTGTGTAACTGTTTCTTTACTGTATTCCTGGCTGCTTGAAAATTCAGAGCAATTAAAAGTGTGCATGAAGCAATGGGAACTAGTCTTCCAGTCTTGATTTCTCTCTGCCTGCTGCAGGACTAGGGCTATCAGCAATGGAGATAAAACCCAGTGAAAGGACATACAGAGACAGCCTAATCCGGAACATACTTCTTTTCTCTCCTCCTTTCTACTGTTTTCTCTCATCTCTGTACTGCTTCTTGGGAATTTATCACATTTGTCTTTATTTTCCTTTGGCCACTTACTTTTTTTGACACAGTAATAAATTTTCTCCTGTGTCTCCTCTTGTCCATTCTTCTGACCTAAAAAAATGCTCCAGAGCCTTGCAGTTATTGGATAAAGACATGAACAGAATAGTTGCATCTGGTATACGAAGCATTGTAATTTTTCATCTTTGCTGTGGCCTTCCGTCCCCTCTCAGGTTATGCCATCTGTCTTGGATTTGTTTTCAGTATTTATTTTGTTCCTTTCTCTTCCTACCCACCTACTTTTTATTACATTTTTTTTATCTCTTTTTCTACCACTGCGCTTAACCTCTGTTGCCTCTTGAGGTTTCCTGCCTTTGTGAGGAGGGTGGCTAGTACTAGCACCCACATTTTGCCTCAACAGCTACTGTCCCCATTGAGTTAACACCTTGCGGCGGTGAAATGTAGAGGGATCATTAGCGGTTGAAAGAGAAAGGTTGGACTGAAAAGGCAGAGCTAAAGCTTAAGTGTCACTGACAAAATCCTAGCCATTATTCCTACCTACATTGGTCATGATGGCTTCTGATGTCTGATTTCTACCGGCCTCAAATGACTGCTATAAAAGTTTTTTGGAATAATTACATGAAGCTTTTTGCATGAAGTAATAATCAAAATCTTATTTTCCTAGAGACATAATTTCCTGCAGACCGTATTGCTTTACTTTAGCTATAGCAACAACCCAGTGGTGTCCAGAGCTCTTACGAAAAAGAAATAAAACCGTGTAAGAGAGCTGTTTCATTCTTCTGAATTGTTATCCTAGCAGGAAATGATCAGTGTTTGGTGGGCTTCTGGTTGTGTTAGTGTTTTATAAGATTCCAGCGCACCACTCTAGTTTGTCCCAAAGCATTCCTTAGACCATGGAGGGTGCATTCAGCTTTCTGCTTCTTCACTGGAACCACTGGATGATTTACACCACAGTAAGGGAGGGAAGGAGCTTACCACCTACGGTCATGAATTCCTGCAATACTCTTTTACTACTCTTTCTGAACTTCCTTCTAGTGCTGACGAGTGGTTTTGAATTTATCATCTTAGTAACTCTGTACTTTTAAGTGCTTGCCAGCTAGTAGGAGATTTTGCCTCTGCAGGAGCTGTAATGGAGTGGCCACTTACTGGTATTATGTTGGTTTTCCTCCTGTACATAGGACTGCATTTCTTTTGGTCTGAAACACATAATCGAATGGTGGTGGTGATAGTGGTTTAAAGTGTGAATTTTTTAAAGTCAAGTCTTCTTTTGTAGAACTTGTAATTTTAATACTAGGGATAATTTCACTGTGCATTAAAAACTTGGTTATACTAGTTAAAATTTGCATTCTGTCCAATGAGTTCTGTTTGCACATAATTGGTGAAAGTCTATTTTATCTAGACAGAGATAAGAAGAACACTTGCTATCATGATGTAAACCTCTCACTAAAACAGAAACTTCATGTTAGAGCCAGGTAGCAAAGAGTCCATACCTCAGGAAAGTGAAATCCTTAACCCTCAGCTGTGAACAGATTGCAATCTTTTTGGGCAGAGCTGCACACATCTACCCTCTCTCCTTCTTGTTGAATCTGGGCAGAAGACATAAGATCAGCTGGAACTTTCAGCACATGATGATGTTTTCAGGTAAAAGCAAAAATGTTTAGTAAAGAAAAAAAAATCTTATTTGTAACTCATTAGCAATTTATAGTACTACATTCTGCTTTTATAATCCATATTCATGCATCCTGAATAGAAGACTTAATGGTTGTTGCTGCATGCTATCACATATCCTTTAACCTTTACAGAGAGCGTGTCATGTCTGGGACAAGTAACATCTTGAAATGGCAGCTGCTGACAGAACCTCATGTTGGGAATACAGTATTTTAATTTGAAGTGCATCTGATGGGATGGGGGAATTGGGAGATACCTCTTCCAGAAGGTTTTTTTTCTAGCTGAAATGATGTACGCAATGTACAGAAACAGATATCTGCTGAGAAAAATTGAGGCATATTTATGGGTGCCCTCAGCCACACAGTTGGAGAAAGCAAGGTATTTGCCTTAAATTCCCTACGATTTCTGCCACACAGGTAACTGTTTGTCACTTAAAGCAATCATGGAGTGTGCATCTAAACATGTGCATCCTCAAGAAGTGCCAGGGATGCCTCTGTTCACAAGAAGGTGCGAAGTAGAGGGAACCAGCTTATTTCCAGTGGTGCCCAGTGACAGGACCAGAGGCAGTGGGCACAAACTGAAACAGGAGGTTCCCTCTGAACATCAGCAAACACTTTGTCACTGTGAGTGTGACCAAGCACTGGCACAGGCTGTCCAGAGAAGTTGTGGCATCTCCATTCTTGGAGATATTCAAAAGCCATCTGGATGTGGTCCTGGGCAACCAGCTGTAGGTGGCCCTGCTTGAGCAGGGGGATTGGACCAGGTGACCTCCAGAGGTGCCTTCCAACCTTAGCCATCCTGTGATTCTGTGATTCCCCTACTTAAGAAGTCTGCAGATGTCTAAATGCCATGGCTTGTCCTTGCTAGTGGAGTCTCATAATTGGTGGCGGGGGGAATATAATCTGCCTGTGAACATGTTATTAACTAGAATATTTTTCCAGCTGATAGCAATTTCATATCAAGAACTCATGCTTCAGTTATGGAATCAACTGGAGAAGTGTGCATTTTCATTTGGATTCAGGGAGCTGCTTGATTTCCATATGTTTTGTTGTCCTTAATTTGTTTGTTTCTGTATTTCTTTCCTGTTAGCTTCTGAAATATTTACAGCTTTTCTTAACGCTTGTGGATTCTATAAATTACAGAAAACTACCAGGGAAAATCATGTTCTAAATCATCCCAAGGCATAATTTATCAAGGAAACTGAGAGAATTAAAACTTGCTGGAACCCAGTGCTTTCTGCCTGTCACTCTGTGCCTTTGTGGCAGGGAGGGAGCAAGGAAAGATGCTGTGCTACAAATAGGTGCAGTTGCACTTCTGAAGCTCTGCTATTTCATTTTTTCACATAGGTCTCAGGGGAGCCATGGCATTTGCTCTGGCTATACGAGATACCGCTACCTACTCACATCAAATGATGTTCTCAACAACTCTCCTCATCGTCTTTTTCACTGTGTGGATTGTTGGTGGAGGTACAACTCCCATGCTGTCATGGCTGAACATCAGGTCAGTATGCAACTGTATGCTGGGGAAACTTCACTTTTCAAGTGGCAACTGTACTAAGTGGCATAGTCCTACAAAACTTGTTTGATGTTTTGAGGAGTGTTCTAGGTATTTAGAACATTACATTTTATAAAGGAAGGTGCTGGTACAGGCTGATGAAGAAAATGTACTGATGCTGTTAGGATTCAGCCTAAAGCTCTCTGATGTTCTGCAAGTAGGTATCTAGGTCCTTGTCAGCCCAGGAGGATATGAAATAGTGTTGCCTGATACAGCAGCCCCTATATCAAAAAGAATTAGTCTATCTAGTCCCATATAAACTTCTCTTCCTATTATACTAAGACATTTCTGTGTCTTTTGGCTTTTGGTAATGGCCCTGTTGCATTTTTTAAGTTAAATGGAGTCTCTAGTGGGTGATGCTAAACTGAATGCACTTGAAACATCTATCCAAACAAACCTGAGGTTATCTAAACAACTGAGATAAATGGGATCCTGCTAGTCTTCTTGGGTGTGCTTCTTCCTGTTTTGAGGAGACCTGTGAAAATGGTAAGTAGTGTGGTTATAGAGGCTTGTCTGTAAATCCTGGCCAATACTTAGTACTTTTGGGCTGCAAGTACATTCACGTTTGAAGATACTTATCAACAGAAGTGCTAGAGAATCATGAATGAATCATTGTTAAAGACCACATATGTTGTCATTCTGGGAAAGTTTTGGTAGTTGGGGAGCAAAGGTAAATAGAGTGGAATTAAAACTATACACACTGTATGAACCCTTCAGTGCATTTTTCATATGTAAATTACTTGTGCTCTTCACCACTTGAAAGCCTACTTTGTCTTGCTTTCTAGTTGTGCTAACCAGAATTTGAATCTCATTGTCTTGTGATAGGATAGGAAAAAACAATCTTAGGTAAAACCAGTTTCCATCTCTGGAAGAGCTGAACATTCTTAGGGACTGGTGCTGCTTTTGGAAAACTGAAGTGAACTGCTTGTGGCAATAGGTAGTAGGTGCTTTCTAGGTTGGGAAAAAAAAAGGATAGACTCCCAGAAATGCTTGTGAACTCTTCCCATTGAAGGTAGCATGCTTCCAGCCAGAGAAGGACATTTCAGCAGTGATCTACAGTATCTCAGCTCTGACTAATAGCAAACATTGGGGAATCACTGTTTTCTTTTTTTTTTTTTTTTTTGTGCCAAATGAATCCATTTCAGTCCTTTAAAACTGTCTTTAAATGCAAGTTCCAGGTGTTTGGCTAGCACACCAGAAAGAAGCATCACTTCCATGTAGTCAGGCTAGGTCATGTCGCTAACAACAGGTAATGCAACACCTGGTGTGAAGTCAACAACAGAACCAATTCCACTGCAGTTGTGCCATTAACAATCATGAGATACCACATCCTAACGATATTTCTGAGCCCAGTCTGACTCATTTCTGTTCCCACACAAAAACTGGGTAATGGCTTAAAAAAGGCACCTAGAATAATGCCATGTACAGCTTTGCATTTGGCACCTTTGACAGCAGAAGGAGATTTCTGTCCGATGACGGTATATAAGGAACAACTGTACTAACAAGCAGGGCAGGCACAGTGTTTGTGTAACCAGCAGTGTGCATAGACTGTTCAAGGCATGGGGTACAAGGGAGCAAGAGATGAGATCTGGCCAGCAGTACACAGGTAAGAATGCTGCTTGCAGTCTGCTTGCAAGGGCTGAGCAAAGTCTGCCAAGATTTGCCTGCAACCTTTGCGATGGCCAATGTGAGGATATCCCTTGTCTGATCTCCACTTGAGTGGATACCAAAGCATCTTCCGAAATGTTGCTGCAACCAGGTGGACAAAACTGACTCTAACAGCTCTCATCATAGGTGCTGGCATCCTGAGCCTTCTGCCCTGCTGCCTGCACTGCTTTTGTTGAAGGAGCATAGCTGGGTATTTCCTTCAAACCTTGTCACCCAGCAAGAGACAGGATATGCTGCTGACCAGCTAAGTGAAGACGAATTGTGCTCAGTCTGCCTGTGTTGGAAGGCAGCTTCAGAGTGCAGTCAACTGTTACCTCTGCCACAGGGCTCCTTCAGTTGACACCAGTAGGACAGGACTGAATTCTAGCATGTGGCCCAGCTCCTGGCCAACTAGAAAATAGTTCTGAGGTAGCAGCTTCCATCTTCCCCCCACCATCGAGCCTAGGAAACAGTTTGTGGAAGCGTCCAGACATAGGCACCTTACTTCTGTAGCAATGCTAATCTGGTTCAGTAATGAGACCCCATGAGCCTGGCTGATGAGTTGCTCCTGAAGGGAGAAAGGGCTAACACTACCTGTTCCAGGCTTGCCCTTTGGGTAGGCTACACTTGCAAAAATCATTAGTGTGGCCAACGAGGCCAAACAGCTGGGAAGGCTACGATACCACTCCTAGAGGAGTAGCTGCCAAAAGGCAGTTGGGCGAACCATAGTTTTGAGTGTCTAGCTGTAGCTTTTTTGGGAGATTTACCCACCTGTGCCACTAAGCAGTAATTTTAACTGTTATTTGTTTGGCATGATTGACAGAAAATAAATGGTTAACTTCCCTATTAAGCTATCAGGTAAACAAGGGAACTCTACATAGGAAGTATTTGAGAGAACTGCATGGGTCTGCCTACAGCTGCCTTGATGGGCAGCGCTCTGTTCCGGACAGAGACTGCACTTTTCGAGACCACATGAAACCAGATGTGTGCCAGGAGGTGGCAGCTGTGTGCAGCTGAGCGAGAATTAGAAACTTGGTGCTGGGAAAGTACCCTCTGTGATAGAGCCCTTTCTGCTGCTGGAAAGCAAGAAGACCTTACAGATTCAAGAAAGGGACAGATTAGTTTCCAGCTGAATTTTAGAAATATGCTGCTTTTCTCTTTTCCATCTCTTTCTACCCAGTGGAAGAGGTAGGCAGGAAGAGATGAAGAGGAGATGCTGTCCTGTGCAGTAGGTAACTTATCCCTGGGGTCGTCTGGGGTGCTTTCTGAGACTTGGCACTTGCCTATTAGATTAGATTGCAAGAGACTGGAAATAAGTAGTGGTCCCATACAGGATTATTTAGCAAAAGTTAAAAGAGAAAAGGTGGTTCACTTTGTGGATTAAGTGAAGGGACATAAGAAACTAACGTCATTTGTGCGTTGCACTTAAATGTTAGGTTTTGTGTGGAGTCCTAAAAGTCCAGCTGTGGTGGACTTTTGGGTCCACAACTGTGGTTCACACCAGTTGTAGCCTGGTTGACTTTTGAAGTTCACACCAGTTGTAGCCTGGTTGACTTTGGCCTTTATGGAAGGAACAATGGAAAGCCAGTCAGCCATCACAAAGTCCTCATGAAGTAGTTGGTCTTGCTGCAGCGTGAAGGTGAGAAGACAAGGGCTAGCTTTAGCAAAGAGTCGACCAAGCTGACTGACCCGTTAGGCTGGTTTAGCTTGCCTGGTCATTGTGTGGCAGTGGTGTTATTGTAGCCCTATGGGTACTGGTCTGCCCATCAGTGGGGTTTCTGGGTGGCCCTTTCAATGGTTCCTGTGGGCTCTCATGGGCTGAGCTTCTTCCTTAGGAGCTGCAGGTGCATGTCTGTTGTACTAGGCAAGTCAGAGGCGCTAAGACAGACATCAACACCCAAGGGTCTTATTTAAGGTTGTGCCTGTACAATTTAAGTAGAACAGTACCAGAGAGCTGACGCCAGCCAAGATGTTCAACTGGTTCGATACCACTATGTTCATGGGGAAGCAGTTGCCAACCAAGACTTTCAACTGACTCGATACCACTATGTTCATGGGGAAGCAGTTGAGAGCATGCATGGGGTAATGCCTACATAAGGATCCAGAATTGCTTTGCTGTGGCTTAGAGGCAGAGGCACATGCTTCTGGCTGCACCATTAGTTGAACACCAATTGGGATGCATGCTTTGTTCTTGACTTCTGGTTGTCCCTTCTCTCTCACGATGTGAAATGTATTAAAAGTAGGTGAGGGATGGAGAATTTAACGTGACAACTAAGTTTTGGTAAAGTAAAAAGCGGTATAAGGAGGAAAATGGGCAAAACTACCCTCTGCCTCCCCTTGCTCTGTTCTGAATGTCTCAAGTAGTCAGAAGAGCAGGTATCTTTCCAGATAAAGTATGTTATCAGTGTACCAGGGTCCACTGATCAGGCTTAAATGGACAGCTAAGCAGAGGACCTATAGCTTGTAGCAGAGACTTAATTTACTGCTTAACTGGTTGAGAAAGTGAGGTCATGACAGCAAAATCCAAGTAAAAAATAATAGGATCTTTAGATGCTTTTGGTTTCTGCTACTTGATGCTGAGCAAGTTAAAAATTAACACCGAAAACTGGAGTTAAAGCCATAACGTCATGTGTTTGAATTTCTGGGCTGTCTATCAGTGAGACGTATCCAAGCATGTCAGTGGTAAACAGTTATACTTTTCTAGCAGTAGATTTTTTTTTTTCTTAGAAACTGAAGCATGACTTGGATATTAAAAACATAGTTTCATCCTTTGAGACTAAAACAAAGAAACAATTTCCTGTCTGAAATTTTAACAATTTCAGCAAGCTCAAGAGCCCTGTAAATCAAAACCACTGGCAAAGTTCCTCCTTTCAGAAAAGTAGCTGACTGATCATTTCATTTATCTGTCACAGGAAAAAGGGGAACTCCTAGCATTTGTATTGCAAAATAATGCTCTTTCCATTTTTCATTAAGGGTTACTGACCTGGTTCTTTTCACGTGGAATGAAGCAACACATAGATTAATGCCTTCCTCTCCTTCATAATTTGCTTCAAATGAGGAAGTTTGTGTTTATTTTAATGAGATTTATACTATATTATAGCATTATATCTTTCAATGTAAAATATTTTAGGTATCTTTCTAGCATAAAAGTTAATGGTTGCACAGACAATGTCAACTTAGATATTTACTGCCTTATGTCTGATTTTGCAAATAGAATCTTTTTAAGACTTTCAATTTAGTGATTCCCCACCCCAACCCACCTTAAATGAGCAAACTGGAAAAAAAAAAGTCTGGAAACACTAACTCTTACGTAGCTGTTATGTGAACTGCCTAACTATCTAGGATGGCAGTAAAACTGACAGCTTGGTGGCAGTCTCAGGTTATACTCTGTTATCTTACCCAGGGTGGTCCAACAATAAAATGTGCATTTCTTAAATACCATGCCTCCGTGTGCTGCGATGCCAGGAGGCAAGTGTTGATGCTGGGATTCAGCCTTGTGTTATGTTGTGAACTGGAGTAGGGGATGTCTGATAGGAGGTTGCATCCTTCTGTTTTGCAGCCTGTTTCCATTATTCTGAAACTTAGATCCTTCTCTTCACTGCCCTCTGAATGCTCTCCACTGCCCTTGAAGGGCAAATGCACAGACACAGGTGATGTCCCTTGCCCTCTGTAGTGGGCTTTTTCATTTCACCATATTTTTATTTGCACTGCTTTCTCCAGTGTCTTCCCCCATCTAGTTTCTCCCATCTTCCTCCTTTCCCAGTCTAGTTTCTCATCATCAATCTTGAATCTCTCTTAATGGAGGTGCAGTGCAAGCTGCGAGCCCCAAGCCACACACCTCTGGATATTTCCCTTGGTAGGAAAGAGATTGCCTCCTCTTTTGGATATCTGGAATTAAGCATGGGAGATGCTTCCTTATCTCTGTCCTTGTGCTCTGAAACATAGCAATTCACACCAGAAAGAAAAAGCATAGGGAAGGCCGAGACACTGTAGGAATTGAGTTGAGATACATCTAGAGCACATGGGTGATGTGCGTTTAACTGCCAAGCTCTGGCAAGCCTCAGCAGGCAGTTTCAGGAGTCTTTATCTTGGTTAGATCAAGTAAAGAAATACCCAAGGGCACCCTAAAACCAACCTGAAACAACTATTCCAAATTCTAGGGTTTTTTTTTAGTGATTCGTTTTGGGGGTTTGGGTTTTTGTGGGGTTGTTGTTGTGTGGTTTGTTTTTTCTCTTTTTTTAAACATAGCAGTGGGAATTCTCTTCTTCCCTGTGAAACGGTTGAACTCTTCCAAAATAGCTAAAATTTTCCAAAAATGCTGCACTCATTACAGACGTCTGGGAAAACTTCAGTATACTAACTTGGCAAAGATACTGCAAAGAGAAAGAAGTCATAGAAGGGAAGTTACTGGGTAGTTTTTAATTTTAGTTTTTGCTGTATATGCAGAGCCATCTCAGTGTTGGCCTTTCGGAGCAGAGTGCTCTGACCTGGAGTGTGTGCTGGTATGGGAGAAGAGCTATTGAACTAGGAATCCAAAACAAACCTAATCAAGGTCTGGTATTTGCCTCAGCCTTCAAGGATTAGATGAGTGCATGCTCTTCATAGCACAAGCTATGGCCTGAAATATTTGGTTTGTCAAGATGTCAGCCTGCAATCAGGGTGTGTACACCTGCTCTTTGTAAAGTGAGGCCTCTGTGGATTTCTGATCATCTGGGTTTTTATTGCACATAAGCAATATATAGTTCATGCAGCATGCCCTCATGGAAAAAGGGGGGCGGGGGGAACCCACAAGCTGTTAAGGAATTTAAGTGGAAAATATTAGAAACCAAACGTTCTTTCACTTGTGTTCTTTTTTTAAGTGCAATTGAAAAAGGCAAAGCAAGGAGTAAAAACACAGTCTGCTATGATTGGAGATTAATTATGTTAAAGGTTGTTAGTCAATTGTTAGTTAAACCAATGGAGTGATTTAGTTCGTGTTACCAGCTGTTTTGGACTGCTCTGAAACTAGGCAGTATTGATGGCCTCTTTCATACATGCATAGCTTCCTGTGATTGCTTTCTCTAATGACGTTTTATCTTTTAGACCGAAGTGGTAGGAAATAGATCAGATCATCTCTCTCTCTCTGTAGCAGCTCTCTCTCGAGCTATTGAATCTAATTTTCTGGGGGAGGTAGCTTGTCGTGAAAACAGGTGTTTTGCCAGCCTGAATCAGAATGAATGAAGACTATTACTGGACATCTCAATCATAAAGTGCTGCTATTGGTAATTTTTATGTTGTTTTTTTTTTGTCATTTTGTCATTATTCTACCACTCTTATTTTTGTATGCTTTGTCTTTTTTGGCTGGGTAGTGGTGTTTTTGTTGGTTTGCTTTGTTTTGCTAGGGAGCTCTGTAAAGCTGCCATCTCATGAGCATTTTGTTACTCACATTGCAATCTTGTACTGTACCAGAGTTGGTGACCATGTTCCATCGGCGGAAGAGATGAGTGAAAGCCGCTGGCTGTATTTCAGGTGACACTGTGCTTTCTTTGATATCAAATTAACCTGGTGCTTGGCTTTCTTCATCTTCATAACACTAAGTGTGTGCTCTTTTTCCATACTGTGGCATGCTGCTGTTGCTTCTCTTTTTCTGCAGAGTGCCGTAGATGTTCCTCAATTCTGAGTCTGTTTTCTTCTGAGCTGGGAGAGTGTGGTTCACGCGTCGTGTCTTCAGGTTAAAACAAACAAACAACCCCCCCACACACAAAACAGCACATCCTTTAACTGTGTTTATGGGTAATTAATGAAGCAAAACTAGTATCTCTGGCCTGGGAAGGCTTGAAAGCTGAGAAATTGTGTTGCGAACTTATGCTTAATCATACAGGTGTTTTTAAGCATTCCTTGGGGTTGGGGTTATTTAGTACAACTGTTCAGGTTGGAAGGAACTTCATAGATGATTTAGCGTAGGCTCTTTGGGGATGTATTTTAAAAACCGAGGGTTATCACATTGCTTTATACGAAGATGAAAATAAGACTGGAGATAAGCCAGAATTCTAGTCTTCTCCAGGTGATGGTTTCTGGAACTGATACACAAATAGAGAAAGAAGGAAAAATAAAATAAATCTCCAACTGGCATCTATAGGGGAATGTGTATTTGTGTGTACATATGTATATATATATAAAAACATATACAGAATATTTATGTAAAGAAAACTCTTCGGGACAGAGCAACGGTAAGTTTTTCATACATCCTGTTACACTTCAACATTCCCAGCAAACTACTAAATTTGCCAGAGATGCGGTACGTTAGCTTGTACAGAGAATCTGAGAACTATTATCTATTACGGTCATTCTTGGCTGTTGCCACAGTAATTACATATGTTAGAATGTAATAAAGCCTGGTATTTTGGTAACTTGTCATCTATGTGTTGCAGGGCCTTGGAAAGGTTTTTGAAGTATCAGAAGAAATGGTTCCACCCATTTAAAATGACATAGTAGAGAACTTGAAGTAGTTCTGTCTGCTTTTTTTACCATCCTTTTCCATACATTTAGTTTCCACTTTGCGTTCCACATTTTGTGTGTCAACCATTTTCTACCACACTATTTAAGTTACTGAATTATACATAGGCTTAGTGTTTGAAGGACCAAATCTGAGTCAGTGAGTGCTTTCCTATGTGTGATTCTGGAGCTGTAGCTGTAGAATGAGGATGAAGAAGGTCAGGAGTCAGTTAAGAGCAGAAATGTGGTGCTTTGGGTGTTAGGATCTCAATGGTAGTCCCTTTGCTATTACAGAGCTCTTAAAGAGTGAAAAGCCTTAAAAACAAAACAAAAAAAATGAATTAGGGAGGAGTGAAGAAATGCACTTAAATTGCATTAATTTTTACTGTAGCATACTCTTGTCTACAGACTGTAGTAAACTTCCCAAGGTGGAAATAAAGATGACTGAACTTTATGTACTAATAACTGCCTGCACTGAAGTATTAAGATATCTATCAAATACTAACTTGATGCCAATGGGGCAAATAGATGGATTTTTTTTTTCACCAGTTTTGGGACATATATGTGTTGTTACAGCTGAAAGACTGCTCATATTCTTCATCTGACATCTGCTTTTTAAGAGTTACTTATTTGAATTGCTACTGTGCACCTTCAGGGAATCCACACAGAACTGCTGCAATGGGCTTTCAGGATGGGTGGAGGGGAACATGAAGATGCTTACTGGCATCTGCACTGCCCTGGCCTTGGCTGTCCTGCAGCTGACGTGCCCCTAAGTCCCCATTACCTAGACTATGCCACTTCAACAAAACGCTGTTTTCAACTAGAGCTTGCTCACCTACCTTTCTGCTAGGGGATTTGAGCAAAACACCATAGTCATTAGCAAGGCTAACCTCTCTGTGCCCCTGATCTCTGAGAGGGGATCCACATAAATCAGTAACAATTTTTCTTAATTTAAAAACTGGTTAAATACATGCAAACTGATATTGGCCTTTACAGCACATTTAATTTATAGGAAGCTTTTTAAATTTACTTAAGGATGTGAAATGGATTTTTTTGTTTGTTTTTTCTTTTAACCACCAGAAAAAAATTATGTTTAAGACATACATGCATCAACTTTATTTGTACTTTTAATTACGGAATTAGTTAAGTAAGGATGAAGTAACTAAATGTTCTCTGTGCATCTCTTCACTGTAAAGGAGGCTGGGAGAGACTTGACTGGTTTTTGATATTGTTTTGTTTCAAGTGATAAAGATGAGACTTTCTAAGAAATTTGGGGGCAGGGCCTGCAAAAACGTGATGCTTATCATGAGACCAGGGTTTATACACCTTGAAACTTAATCAACCAGACTTGCTACAAAAAAAATAAAGCCTCCTATACAATTTGTGCTAGAGAAGAGGATAAAAGACATAGTATGCTGGTTGAAAGATACAAAAAGTAGTTGTGGGAATTCAAAATAGTGACGTATTTTGTGTTAATCTGTGAACTGAAGAACACACTTTGAAACACAAACTGAAATTATTTATAGAAAAAGATTAATTAGAAATACTCAAAATACAAATTCAGCTGAAGAATAACTTTGAAAAAAATTTAAAATGGACAAGTCTGTGTTGATGTACTAGTTCAATGTTGAAAGAAACATCTGTAATAAGAATTTTTTTCTAACAGTTGAACCATTTTAATATAGAAAAGCTCTCTTTTCCTCTTCAGCACAACAGTGAACCCAAACACCTGGTCTGTGATGTACTATGACTTTTCACTGAACAGTATGGTCACCCTGCGTTGGTCTTCCACTAAGCCCCCTTCTCCTGCCTAAGGGCAGTTAAAATCCCCAAAACAAATGTTCAACCTTGTAAGTCAAGTAAAAGCTGAGGTGTTCTGAATTGTTTGCTTTTCTTATGTACTGTGAAGAGAATGGGTAGCCGAGTGAGTTAAAACTATTTGGGGAATGCAAGCTATGCTCATGTTTTGGAACGAGCTTCTTGAACTCCCCGTTGGTATCGCCAGCTGCGCGGCTAACAGGAGCGTGGTCGCTGCGCATAGTGCATTGAACCTCCTCAATGTGCAGCGGGAGTCTGGAAAGCCACAAATCTTTTTCTTTTATTTTTATGTGTATTTACAAAGGAATGTGCGATCTTACATATATTGCCATACTGACCGGGTTTCCTGATGTTGCTTGAAGCCTCTGCATGAGGCTTCATTAGGTAACTAGTCTGTCTGCAGAAAACCCTTCTTCTCATGTCTTCACTGCTCAGCGATAGCCTAAGCAGTAACATCTAAGCCCTTGTAACCTTTCAGAGCTCTTGTGTGTGGTGTTTTATTTTAGCATGTGCTACAATCCAGTACCCAATCTGTCTGTCCAGTGTTCCCTTAAACTGGGGAAGCTTTTTAGTCTTGAGGCTGGTCAGTGCCAATGAATTCCCAGGCTAAATGTGCCGAAGGGTTAAGACGATTCTGTATGTGGAAAAAGGAAGTGAGGAGGAAAGAAAAGAGACTTGGGAAAAAATCCAAGCTGAGGACTAGGTCAGCACTAGCTCTATATGAGGCTGCTTCAGGCTATCTTAGAGCGGCCTTCTGAATTTTCCCTGAATTACATTGTCATGTGAGGTCTTGGATTGGCCGTGAGACCACAAGAACGACTTAAAACTTCAGTTCAATGCCTACTTTTCTTCTTCTATTGTTCTATTAGAAAGTGCTGCCCTGGAAGTTATTTGAAGGTGTTCATTTTTAGTTTAATCCATGCCATCTTCTGTGCCTGAAGGTAAATCACGTCTGGATCACTGCTTGCTTTATGCAAGCGTGTATCCTTGGGACGCACAAATGATTTGGTCTTACCAGCAAGGTTCTGTTGATTTCTGGTGATCCTTGGGGATGTTGCATAAACACCGTGGCTAGAAATGGCTGATGCAAAGTCTAGGTAACAAAGAAATTGCACTAAACCAGCTCAGTCCCTTCCAAGAGAGGGGAAATGAAGAAGTTAGCCATTTCAGACAATATTTTTTGTTATTGTGATTTTCCTAGACTTATTATGCAATATGGTAGGACTGAAACACAACATGTTTGAGACTGACAATCTTACCTAACATTTGAGGTTGGAGGTCTCGGTTCTACAAGAAACCACAGAGATTAAGGCATGAATAGGATTTAAAACTAGACAAGTCTAATCTTAACAAATAGCTACCCCCAAAACAGACCAGAAAAACTTGAACATAATTACAAGGATTAAATACTTGTCTTGGATAGGAGCACTATGTGAAAGGATGGTTCAGTAATAAGGTGCTTGCTAACTTCGCAAAAGCAAGTAGGCAGTTTCTTAGTAATATACTATTCTGTAATCAACTGCCATCTCATTATAGAGACCCTCTCTCCCTCAGGTGGGAGGCTGGACTAGACAGACCTCTTGTTAACCCACTGTGCCAGTGTTGTGTTAGGTGAATGAAACTTGCTGCAAATTAATATTATGAGTCTTTATAAAGTATTTTTGTTGCTTCACACAGTGCACTAAAACTTGGGGGGTGTGTGGCTTTTTAAATCGTGTATTTGAGCTATTCTCAGGCCTATCTGGCAGCTAAGTTATTTGCTACATCAAATATTTAGGCTGGGCTTATCCTTAGTCTCTGGTTTCTTGCTGCTGTACATGAGGGGTGTTCTCCACTGAAGAGGATGTCACCCACAGTTCACCTTTTCAGCCAAAAATAGTATTTGCCAGTGTCCTAAAAGAACTGGCAACAAAGGTAAGCAGTTGAAGTTGATGCTGAGATGGAGTTAAAGCTGCTATCTACAGGTAGCTGCCGCTTGAATGAAAAAAGTACCTTGTTTATAGCTACGTAACTGCAGGGGAATAATGGACTGCTCTTCCTCAAACTATTCTTATAACCTCTCTGAATGCAGCTTTGCTGGGTGCTTACAGTGCTTTTAAAATGCATTCTGCCAAACTCGGAGCATTTGCAACCCTCAGTAACACCACTTGCTTTGTTTTCCTAATGTTTCTGTAGGGTTGGGGTTGACCCAGATCAGGATCCTCCACCTACTAATGACAGCTTTCAAGTCTTACAAGGAGTAAGTAATTACATAACTTCTTGATTAGGCTGATTTTATTTTATAACTAAGACAATAAAGAACTGCAGAAGCTACGTGCATGGATAAAACCTTTCTCTCCTAGCTGGCAAGTCAGCAATGCATTTTACTTTATAACATTCAAGTAATACCCACTGAAAAACATTCTGTGATGTTGGGTGTAATGCTGCAGCATTCAAATTTTTGTATATACAGATATACATATGTAAGGCATCAAAAACATTCCCAAATCTACTGATACACTATTTAACAATGTGCTTTCCTCTTGCCCTACTCACCCAACATGCTTGCTTCTAACATGCTACAGCATAAACTGTCCTCCCCAAGGCTGACCCAGAGACAATCCTCTTGGTATCAGTTACTGAACAGAAACTAAATTTTGGCCCTTGGACTTGCTTAGAATCAAAGATTAAGTTTGCTAATCTGATCTCAGCTCCTGTATATCGTACCACAGGCCAGCTGGATCTTGCCTGTACTACCTACCACCTGTATGAGGCAAAAGGAGCACTGGAAAATTGCCATTTATAGTCAGTAAAACTGTTGCTGTGAATCTTTACTGCAGCTTTCTATGCATCAGTAACAACCCAACAGTTGACTTTTTTTCCCTGCTATATGCTATTGGCAAACAAGACTATCAAAAGAATGTTGTTCATAGCAGAAATTTCAGTTTTCCTTACCTACAAACTGAGTGAATTCACAAGAGAAGTGAAAGGTCTGGAAAAAAAAAGACTAAACATTTCCTGAGGCTTAACTGGGAGCTTCTGCCATCCAGAGGAAACTCTGTCCAGTTTACACTCTCCCAGACTACTGCTTGACACTGTTCAGTAGCACAACTGGTTGCTTATATAGGAACCTGCTACGGGAAGTTAAATGACAGAAGGAGAAATTACTTTGGACCCAGAGGACACTTAGGGTGCGAGTGTGTGAACTCGGCTTTGTAAAGCTCAGGTTATATGATGCTGGTGTTCCGGCTGGTCACAGATACATGCATGGAATACTTGCTGTATTTGGGATCAGCATTCTTATTAGGGGTTTCTTATGCCTTGCCTTTTTATTTTTTGTCCCAGGTCGTACAGATAAGAGCACCTTGCTCAGAAAGAAGCTCTTTCATTGCAGAAACTGCATTAAGCATCTGTGTGTTCTTTGTAGAAGCCCATGACCAGCACACAAAATAGATTCCGAAATGGTGGGTTTGGGTACCAAAAAGTGTCAACTTGGTTTTGTACCTATCTGGAAGCAACCACAAGGCCAGGCCTCAAAACGTCTTTTACAATGAAGGCCACAGTTATTGCATAAAATCAAGGTTAGGAAGTGGTATCGTGGTAAGACAGCTTTGGCCAGTTCAGACCGAGTTTGTCAGTATTTGAGGAATTGCTTTAACAGGAAACAGAGCATGGGTATTCTGTTCTCGTTCAGTGTCTGGGTGGAAATATCTTGTTT